CGTCGGCAAACTCGCTGAGGTTGCACAGTTTCACACATTGTGAAATTGTGCACAATTTCACACATTCCTTCACAAACAGCATACCAGTGATATACCTTCCAATGGAGTTCAGGGCTTAAATAATTTACCTCCATCTGCATCTCCTCCAACTGCCTGCTGCTGCTCAAATTTTGCTTTCAGCTCCTGTTGGGAACGCAAGAACCTGGTCTGCTTAGGAGCAGCTGATGACACTTTGACCCATTCTTCTTCCAGTTCTTTTAGCTGCCAAAGGGAAAAGAATCTTCACATCAGAAACATTTTGTACGAACCCCAAGACAAGCAACCCTTCAAAAAAAGCAATGGAGTTTTCCCATTTCAGAGCCGAGACAGCACTACTTTTCAGGCTCTTTTTTCTGCCACCAGAGAAGTGACTTCCACTGTGTATATCCATGGAACAGAATATCATGAACAAAACTATAATTGCAGAGCATTTACAAAAGAACAAACTGGACAACAGTCAGAATGGTGTGTCCCCTCTGTAGAAGCTTTAAGATAAAAGTGGCTGAGCACAAAGGAAGATCTCTTTGTTACAGCCACACTATTATTACACACTAAAACTAAGACAAAACAAACATGTGGAGCTGATACATCTGATGAGACAGGGTTTTCTTGGGTGGTGGGCTTTTTTTCTTTTAACCATCCCTTTTTCCAGCAAGTTACTGCTTTTCTTTTCCAAGGATGCATCAATAATCAAGAAGTTTAAAATAATGGAATGTTCCATCTCCGACAGCATAGTTATCTCTGATAATGTAACGCCACTTCCCGAAGTGGAACAGTCACATCATGAGCACCACCTGAACAAGTGTGAAGGGCTCTGTAGAATTAAAAACTTCAGGAAAAAAAGAAAACTATGATGGAAAACGGTCAACGTGAATACTCTCAGCGCAAGGGTCTTTATAAGGGTAACCATTTACCCCTGGGTTAGGTCGCCAAGAAATACCATTCTCCTTCTCAAATCCCCTCCTCTGTTTCAGTATGTGTGAAGTGGGCAAAAGCATTATATTCAGAGCAACAAAACATTGTCATGGTTTCTTTATTAATATCAAAGCGGGACTAACGTTTTGGGTAAAGTTAAGGGAAGCTAAAAAACACTGCTGTTACTGAAAAAATCCAGCTTTGACTGTAAGAACGGCCAACAACACAGGATGAGGGAGGGTGAGGTGAACATGGAAGTGTTTTCTTAAGTGTTTGGATACAGAACTACTTTCTGCCTACCTGAACAGAATTTATGTTCTGCAATGGAGGTCTCAGGGCATCCCGTATCCAACGGTAGATCTCCACAGCAAGGAGTTTGGCTTCATCTCGAACAGCCTTTTCCCGAGACTCAAAAAGTTTTGGCAATACTTTAATGATTGGCTTCAGTGAGATTATTTTTGAACCAAATTCACTGAAAGTTAAAACATGGAGTAGCATCAGTGTCTAAGTAGGAAGCAAAGAGGGATCCACAAATAACTTTTCTTTTCAAAAGCAATCTATGAAATGCCTCCAGTGTACAGTAGAGATTGTGTCATTTTCTCAAATCGTTATTATAGCTATTATTTTGTGAAGCTACTAAGTCACTGTAAAATTTAAATATTTGCCCTATCATAATTACCCTCCACACCCATCTTGGAATTACAAAATGAGGCCTCTGAAATTACTTCAAAGAACTTAATCCAAATCTGCTTCTTAAATCTGTTCCCTTGCCAGGGGCACAGGGGAAGAAAAAAGAAAGTGTCCTTAGATCAAAATTTGTATGACCTACTTTTTTTTTTTTTTTTTTAAATCAGAATAGAATCTCCTTTGTCTATCCTTGGAGGCAAACTGCAGTAAAAGCATTAGTCACTTTTCCACTTGTTGGACCAGATAATTATAGTGAGCCTGGGTCATCTTCACAGAAAATACACATGTTGAAATACGTGCTGCTTAAAGGACACATAAAACGAGATTCCCCAGCCAATCACCCTTCCCTGTCAGCAGATTCTGTATCTTGCTGAACTTCATACACTAAAATTCCTTTTTCAAACACTCCTGATTGAAAATAGAGAAACATTTTCATACAGTAACGTTAACTGCTACAGTTCCTAAAGCATATCTAAACCACCCCAGAAACCCAAAGTTTTTTGGTTCAGAAGTATTTCTTTTCCTTGAGCATTCAGAATTAACCTTCACCATCACTTTCTTCTGCTTCCTCCCAGTCAAGCACCACATGAAAAAGCTAATAAAAATGGCTGCTTAGGAACATGTGTGTCTCGCTCTCTAAAAATTCTAGTGCTAAACATTTCATATTGCCAAGCCCACTTGGAGAAATACGCATTATTAAAACCTGCAAAAGCAGCTCCAGTCCTAGAAACCACACAACTTAAATGTAGAATATAAACAAATGAGTTGCCCAAGAACTTTATTTTGCTACTATGACTCAAAAAAGTACATATTCAGAAAAGTGCCTATGCAAATTCTCTTCTTATTTAATTTATATAGTATTATCTAATCAATACAACTACACAAGAATGAACAGAAACATTAGGACAAGATTAAAAAACACCAGAAGCTAAACCAGTTATGCACTCAAGCTACCCACCTAGATACACAAAACAGACAAATTTTATTATCAGTGCAGAAGCCCTGTCAAAGCACAAGACAAATTTAAGGCAGCGACACAACTCAGAAGCAGAATATATAGGTTAGAGTCAATAGGGCTCCACAAAAGAATTTGATCTTGCCATCTCAAAGACAATACAATACTGCATATAAAATAAATAGGCATGTGGCACATTTTATAGACATAGTTAGTTGAAAGATATTGAGGAAGGTTATGCAGGTTTCTAATTACACTATACTGTTCAAGAGTGCTTGAAGAGGTAAGGCAATTTAAAATAGCTGAAATATATTCTTAAATGTGGGACAGTAGTTTCACCTAGTAGCAGCACACGTAATGTGCTAAGCCCAATGCTTTGACTCCTATTACAGAAGCCTGAAACAAATAGTTTAACAAGGCTCATACACTTCAGCAAGTTCTCTAAAGAATACTTAGCATAAGACACTCTCCATCTATACCATACTTTCTTTTTCTGAGAACTAATTCATGTGCAAACTGTATTCAGTCCATTAATATCAAAATTATCCATTTCCTTAAAAAAATATCTAATGGACAGTGAATTATACATACACATCAAGTACATGAACTTGGTAAACCCCAAGTATTTTTCACTGAACTCGCAAAGGTAGCAAGCATACTTGGAAAGTAGAAGAAAAACAGATGTTCCAAACCTAATCTTGGGTCCAACTACTTCATCTTAATTAAATTGGATTTGAATTTTAGGATGCATTATCAGCTTCTCTTTTTAATAAAGGGATTATTATATGGACAATAGACACTTACTGTGCAAGTAAAAGCTTTTTGCCTTTTTTTTTTTTCCTTTCAGAAACACACAAAGTGTACCCAATTAAAGATGCTCACATCAGTGAGGCAAACAGTTTGGGGTTTTTTTTTTTTAAAAAAGCATTTTTAAAAACAGACTACAGTTTAGTTTCCTCATCAGTGAGTTTATTTCAGCTATTCAGAAGAGAAGCTCCACAGCCCAGAACAAGACACACTAATCCTGCCCTTCTTTCAAAGGTCCACTGTGAAAATGGAAGTCTGGTGAACAGTTGCTATGAAGGAAAGCGATCTAGACAAGGTTCCTACAAAGACATCCCTCACATCTAACAAATCCCATGATGCTCTCAACTGTTGTTGGAAAAATAAATATCAGTTCAGCAGAGAGACATCCTATTCAACAACAGCAAGGGCCTGTTAAAGACTTAAGCACCAAATTAGACTCTATGTACTGCTGGGGTATGGGGGAACCAAACAAAAACCCCAAACAAACCACCAACGAAAGGCTTACCTTAGTGCTTTCCTCAGTGTCTCTATACATGCTACTATGATTTTTGGGTTTTTGTTGTCCAGACCCTTCAGTAATTCTTCTTGTACTGCTTCCCCTTTCTCAATTTCTATATACATTAGACATATATCCAGACCCAGTTCTTTTGCTCTGGCTTTCGGCTGATTGAACACTTTATTTACAACTCCAGATGCTACTTCTCCTGTTGTCCTGAAAGGTGAGAGAGTGTTACTCTTCGAACATTTAAGTGAATTAGGCATTCTACACCATTATCCACAAACAAAAGCACACACAACACCCAAACCCTCGATTAAAACTCAGCAAGTCCTCACAGAACAGGGTCTAAATCCTAAATTAACTTTGCAGTAATAACTTTTTGTAAGAGGCGACCTCCATCTCAAGTTTCATCAAATGAAGTCCTGCAGACTGAGTGCTAGTTAACTTGCTCCTAATACTGGGCTGCACCAGACAGTGATCAGAAGACATTTTGTCAAAAGCGTGTTCATTAATACACGCTAGTTAAGGTCCACAAATAAATGCCATTTCCAGGAATTCCATATGTTAGTTAACATTGAGCACTGTTAACTAACATCAAGCATAATCCCAACACACAATTTCAGATCTATTTCAGAGCTTACAGTCGGCTAAATCATTTACACCGATTTTAAATCAAGGTATTTGGAAGGTTGTTAGGTTTTCACACAAAGCCTTCTGTTTGATGATTCGGTTGTTTTTCAAATAAGACTTTTATTAATTTGATCGGGTCACAAAGTCAGTGGACCAAAGCACTTATCTGACTCATCAGGTGTATTAGGTGTTTTTATCTCACCTTGGGAGTACAGGCTATTTCCTGGGCTAGACAACAGTGAAATACTAACTAACATCCTTTGAAGAAATTGGACAGTATGAAGATCCATATTGGTTAAGTTTGATGCAACACCGCATAAACATAACTACATTTTATTTCGTGACTTAATTACATTAATACCTCCCGGAAATAAAGGCTCCCTGTATGTACAGACCATTTCAGTCAAACAAGAACAGGGATTCCAGTTCACAGCACCTATAGACCAAATTACTGATTCACTTTCTCTACCATGTCAGAAATCTTTACTAATGACTTCAACAGCTTCCTTGAACAATGTAAGCGATTTCCAACAAGTTAATACGCCCATGGAGGCCATCTACAAGGAAAGCCAACCATTCTGCAAATTCTCTAGATCAGAAAGCAAGTTCTGCTCTCAGCAGTAAAGATCAGAATTGTTCGTGGCCCCTGCACAATTTATCCCTTAGCGTTCCTCGGGGAGACACATTACCGTGGTGGCCCACTAACAGCAAGAAAAGGATACTTACTTCCCTGCTACGTGAGCATTTTCAACATAAGCGAGCGCTGCTTCCAGACCTTTCAACTGAGCCACTGCATTGGAGTCTGTCACAAATTTTTTTATCAATCCAAGATACTTGGACCATTCGGGACTCTTTTCATCATCTATCTTCTGGAAGAGCTTAAGGGCTTCTTCATAACCATTTAATCTGGCTTTCCACAGCTGGAAGCAGAAATCAGACGTTTAAATGTTGTGCTAGTACAATTTTAACTCACCAGTATTGCCAAATTCTTCCATCATAGTTGAAAGTGTGCTCAGTGAGCTGGCATCTGCAACACTTCTCTCCAAAGACTATATGAATAATGTGCAACAGGACAAAACACTCGTTCTTTTCCTGCCAAGAATGATCTGGACAGAGAGATGCCAGTCTTCCCCACTGCTCTTCATAAGCTCGAAGCACCACTGATGAGTGGGTGGAAGCCCAACAATAGTTTCGGCTACAGATGAGTAATATCTCCACATGAACGAGTGCAGTGATCTTCCAGCACACAAGACTACGCCATCCTGGTTATCATGCTATTAAATTCTGCTTAATAAATGTTATTCAGCCTCTAGGTTGGATAGAGCCAATGGAGTATCAGATCTGGTATACACACACTGTGCAGCTGTCAAGATTACCCAACTATGGTGTACTTAGAGAGAGGAAGAGGAGTGCCACAGAATCACCACAGCAGAGATACACAGCAAGCCAAACTCCAAACCAAGATTTCCTACCTTGTGTTCACATTTCTGGTCAATGGGCAGTTTCATCCACTCACTGTCGTCCCCCATTGTAATTCAGGTTCTCTCTATAATTACAGTAATTCCTGTGGAGATAAGGACAAGTTAGAACACAGAAAAATACATGGCAGGTGCTAGCCACAACACAGCTTTACTTACAAAAAAAAGAAAAAAGCCAAAATACAAAACCCTAAACAAAACAAAGACAACTCTGTACCAAATCTTATTGCCAACATGCAACCCAAGCTTGAAATTGTATTTAGATATGCACCACTAAGACTAGACCACTGTTTTGTTAGCCCTGGAAAGCTACCAGAAGCCATTACAGACTAGAGAGCAGTGCAATTTGTAATACTTCAGACATTAGAAGTCTCCATCTGTGACAGCCTCAGTAGCCCAAGAAGGCATGCAGAATCCAGCCTCATCTGAGCCTGAGGAAGAATGTAGCATGATTAAGGCACTAAAACGCAGCAAGTACCCATCAACGCTGGAAAACTGACTCCTACTGACACGTGCTTTCAGCAACAGGTGCCATGAATCACTGTCAAAAAATAATCGGATGCTAGTGTAAGGACAGCCATTTTAACAACTTCACAGAGAGCACAACTGAAGTGAACAGTTCTGCAAGAGGAACAAAACCCATTTTTGCAAGCTGGCCACTTTATGCCCTAATTCTAATGTAGCTAGCGTCAGCAACTGTCAACAAGAGATCAATTTCTTACCACATCAAGGCTCAAATCCTTACTCATCCAAGTTCCTAAGTGTTTTTCGCCTTCTCCCCCCGCCCCTTTCCTTTTAATTAAAATGGGAATACTGACCATTAGGGTATGAGATTAGACCTCAGGCTCAATGCCCTTCTTGGGCATATTGTACAACTAACCTGACTGCTCAGAGAATGAGAGAACACGTCTGATGCAGAGAGATCAGCAGAATGAAAACAGCACTAGCAGTAATGAGGGGGCTCCCAACATTATACAAAACCAAAATCTAACCAGAGGAGTAACACATTCCAGCACACCAGTTTGAATGCACAGAGGCAAGCAAAACTCTAACCACTGGCCAGCATATCGAATTTATCACTACAGGCATATAAACACACCATACTAGCACAACATTCCTAATGCAAATTCAGCCTATGCTGGCAAAGCTGCATGCCTAAACCTATGAACCTTACTACTGCACTTAATTCAGAGAGGTTCTCTGCAAAAAAATGAACCCCTAGAATGAGGAGTGTAATTTCACTGGTGTAAGGCAATATAAAAACAGCAAAATTAGGCTAGCAAAGTCTACAATAAAAACAACGTTTTCTTCCTTCACAGAGTAATTAGAAGATACGCAAGATAAACCCAACCCTCAATAATTAAAAAACAAAACAAACAAAAAACCAAACCCAAAACCCAACGAACCACAAAACCACCAAATTTCCACCAGCCTCCAACACTCCCCCCACACCCAAACTACAATGAATTTACCTTATTTATAGATTCCTGTGGGTGTTAATACTGGTGTCCCTAGAACTGCATAAACCTACTGGTTTGCCCAATGGCAAAATCGTAGAAACATCATAGAATCATAGAATATTTTGGGTTGGAAGGGACCTTAAAGGTCATCTAGTCCAACCCCCCTGCAATGAGCAGGGACATCTTCATTTTCACTGCTCAGAACCCTGTCCAGCCTGACCTTGAATATTTTCAGGGATGGAGCATCTACCACATCTTTGGGCAACCCATTCCAGTGTTTCACCACCCTCAGTGTAAAAAACTTCTCCCTAAACCTCCTCTCTTTTAGCTTAAACCCGTTACCCCTTGTCCTGTCACTACAGGCCCTTGTAAAAAGTCCCCCCCAGCTTCCTTGTAGCCCCTTCAGGCACTGGAAGGTGCTGTAAGGTCTCCCCGGAGCCGTCTCTTCTCCAGGGGGAACAAGCCCCACTCTCTCAGCCTTTCCCCATCGGAGAGGTGCTCCAGCCCTCTGAGCATCTTCGTGGCATCCTCTGGATGTGCTCCAGCAGGTCCAAGTCTTTCCTGTACTGACGGCTCCAGAGCTGGACACAGTACCTCACCAGACCTCTCACCAGAGCAGAGAAGAGGACAGAAGTTAGCTACACATATAAACAAAGGCATTCAAGCATTGTTACGGTTTGTCCTTCTCATTTCACTAAGCAATGTGGACACTTATTCTTGACATCAGCACAGCGGTACTGAGAAGTTTGCTTTTCCAGCAAAAAATAACACAACACCTCCCCCCCCCCAATCATTAAGAGGGCCAGAGATGAGGTCTTAATTAACCCCTAGAATTATAAACCATGAAGAAATAAAGGATCACTCTGCTCATTATGTAAGAAACAAAATACACTGAAGTGAGGCTACCTAAAGCCCATTCTACTGAACTTTTACTCCTGGTACACTAGCTTTACACATGTACAATTTATTAAAAAAGGTCCAAGTTAAATTCGGGTCACACCATTCCTCCATGTCAGGAACTGACAAGAAAAAAAGTACTCTGACTTAAAAGTGACAATGAAAATAAAACTCAAGGTTCAAAATGCCCTATCAAAGCCAAATAATCATAAGAGGCCAACAGGGCAAGTGAGTTACTACATCTTTTTGCATGAAAGTCCCACCAGCCTTTTGCCACAGATCCCACTTTCATCTGTTCAAACTCTTCCGGAACTCTACTGCTTTCTTTCTTCCCATGCCTCTCATTTGTTCTTTCATCCCTTCCTTCAGCCTACTGCAAGACAGAGTTCAAAATTAAATACAAATCAACAGCCTCCAGGTTCAAATTCAATGTATTTTACCTATTCCAAAAAACAAAAGCATCCAGCTCTAGGACTGCGATGATCTCCCTCCAAAAGCAAAAGTGAGACTGCATCGACACTAAACTTCTCAAATAGTTCACACGTAGCCAAGGATGCAGGACTGCCGTCGCGTGAACGCAGTTAGAGCAGCAGACTCCCTTCAGTCGCTCAGATTGGTTCTGCAGCCAGGTGCCATCAGGAAAGACACAGCTTTGCCAGTATAAGCTGCGTTTGCACCAGGAACGCCTTCATCTTGACACACCAGTAAAGAAATAATGGGGTACTTTCCCCAGCGTGGATGCAGATCACAAACAGCTACCACAGTCTTTTCCCAAATTCACACATGCCTTTGCCAAGAACAAGTAGAATGAACTTAGCAGGAAATTAGGTAGTTCCAAATCTTGCTGAGAAACTTGAAGGTAATTCAAGCCATTACCCGTCAGTATCATTTTGTTGAGGAAAACATATGGAACCAATACAAGGACACTAGTTATTCACAAAGAACACAGAAAAAGAAATAAAGCACTAACACACCTGCCAGCAGCAGAAACATCAGAATAGAGAGTTTTGGCACCTGTACTAAGATAAAACTCCCATCTACACCGCGGTCATTTAAACCGTCAGCAGCATGAACTTCCTACTTCAACAACAAAAATCAACATTTATTTCTCTACAGACATCTCTTCCATCAAGGAAAACCTTACTGTAGGATAGTGACTACCTTACTACAATCCTAAAATCTGTTCAAGCCCTAAAGTCAGGTGCAACTCTATTAAAACGCTTGTTCACTGCAAGGCTGACAGTGATTTACAAGTATTTGTATCCTTACACATACCCAACAGTTCATTGCCAGGAAGTGCGACCTCTCGCTGGTACACCCTAGTGTACGTTACAGGATCTAGAAGAAAAGGATCTAGGATTTCCCTTCCCACCATCACAGTGTACTCGGGAGGAACATAAGTGATGAGACAGACACCAGGAGGGAGACGGACAACCATGCAACAGTATGTATTTTTTCAACTATTTTTTAAGTTTAGTCAGGTCACTTCCCCTACTATTTTTAGCTGTAACACCTACAATGGTTACTTCAATTATAAAATGGGTTAAGTTGCCTTCTGTACTGAATCCAGCATCTAAAAATAGTAATAAAATTATACTTCCCCCCAATAACTTGCAAATCCCTTCAGAAGAGAAAGTTTGTCAGAAAGTATTCCATGGTCACAGAGGGACAGCTCCTTCTTAAACACTCCTTCTGGCTTCATCACCGCTCCCGCCTGTCCTAACCCCAGGATCTTGTACTGCCTACATCTTGCGCTTATCAGAATAAAAGACTGCTGTTTGTCCCTTCAGTTAAGTTACTGGGTTCTGTATGTTCATAGAATATCCCTCATTTGACAAAGACCCTTTCTTTTTCAAGCTTCTTTGCAAAGACACATAAACCTCCAACCCTTACTTCTCAACATCCAAAGAGCGAGTAGCCTCATCATACAATGATGCAGCTAAATTACGTTACTACTAGTGAATTTGCAGCAATGAAGGGTTTGACCTACATAGCTTCCTTGTTACCACAATTCAGAACAAACAGATTTCAGCCTTTCACTAACAATATTCATTTCGGTAGAATGCAGACAACAAGACCTCCACAGTGGCTGAACCACTAAAATAAACTCTGTGAGAGAGGTTTGTTCTTAACGTGGTCAATACAACATTTCCAAAAGCAAGTCAGCTGAGGAATCCGGAGTGGAGATGAATAACAAATCCTCCCTGACAGTTCTTGGCAGGACAAGTCCTTGTATTATGGAGCAGTGAGAAAATGAAGACCATCAAGGAAAGAATAGGATGTCTTTCAAAAGGAAACCATGCAAAGGCAGCAAGAGCAGAAAATATTTACAAGGCAGCACAAATGCAAGAATTTCAAGTGTAAAAGTGAGAATTCCCCACTAAATATAACTAAGTTTAGGAAACAAATTTATCAACACATTAAGAGATTATGGGAAAGTGTCAATACATGAAAGTTTGGATTAACCACGCACTGCTCTGAACAGCTCCTACTCAGCTTCTAAATAAACGCTTTCTCGGCTACAGTCTTTAATGGCTAAACATAACCAACCTTACAGCTTCACAGTGTGGGGTACTGCCAAAGAACACCCTTTCCTCAAACATCCTGAAATGTGTTTTACTTGGAAGAGCATGATACAGTGATACACCTATCAGTATACACATTTATCACCTATCACTGTATCTTATGGTGAAGTTTCAGCTTCCGTAGCTTTTTGTACAGAAAATGTGCAA